CACAAGGAACTGATAACATAAACATAAAAATGATTTTGAACTGCTGTCCTCGAATTCTTCCACACATAACACATATTGCGAACTCTTGCCTTAAACAGGGGGTTTTTCCTACAGCTTGGAAACAGGCAGTGGTAAGGCCTCTCCCGAAAGCAAATAATATTCAAGAAATTAAAGATCTTCGACCAGTGAGCATTCTATGTACTCTTTCTAAGGTTTTAGAACGGGTTATTGACGAGCAAATTCGACATTTTGTCTTTACAAATGATATCCTGCCCTCATGTCAGAGTGGTTTTCGTAAGAATTATAGTTGTGAAACAGCCCTTTTGGATTTGACTGACGACATTATTAAAGAGGCGGACAATACTAAACTTACAGCACTTATTGTTTTGATAGATTATTCGAAGGCATTCGATACGATAAGCCACCCTCTTATGAGCGCAATATTAAAATCTATTGGATTTGCTGATATTCCTTTAAAACTGTGTGCAGATTTTCTAGCTGGGAGATCCCAAAGGGTTAAAATAGGTAACGATATATCATCTGCTAGAAATCTTCGAGCTGGAGTTCCACAAGGATCCATCTTGGGACCACTTTTTTACATTGTTTATACCCATAAATTGCCAGAGGTGTTTGAATTTTGTAAATCTGTTTTATATTGTGATGATACTCAAATTCGACTACCTTTTTTACCAAAAAATGCTTATCAAGCAATTAATCAAATTAATAGCGACATAGATAAGCTAGTACAGTGGTCAAAAAATCATGGGCTTTACATAAATGCAAAAAAAACTAATTTTCTTTTATTTGGCACCAGAAAAAATAGAGTAAAAATTGATTCACAACAGTTTTTTGTCAGAGTACAGGGTGCTGAAATAAGACTTTCAAGCTTAGCTCGAAATTTAGGAGTTCTCTTTGACAGTCACCTTCGTTTTAAAACACATATTAACCAATGCATACGATCAGCTTACCTTAATCTTAAAACCATTTTCTCTGTGAGACAGTATGTGAGCTTCCCTGTAAAGAAAATTTTATGTGAATCTTTAGTTCTCTCCAGGTTCAACTATGGCTCCGCAGTTTATGGGCCTTGTATAGACTCCAGAGATACAAAAAGAATCCAGGTAGTGCAAAACTCCTGTCTACGTTTGATATGTGGAATAAGGCGCCGATGCCCAATATCACACAAATTAAAGGATCCCCGAATAAACTGGCTTAATATGGCTAACCGTCGGAAGTTACTTTCGGCATGCCTTTTCCACAAAATTATTTTGAATAAAATGCCATCATATTTATTTAATAAAATTATTTTTAATAGAAATCCTCACTCTCGGAATTTGAGACATGTGAACAGGATAAGGGTTCCAAAGCATAAAATAGAGTTTTTTAAACGTTGTTTTACTTATCAAATATCCAAAATATACAATGCTGTTCCTGCCTCGCTTATTGAGAAATCCGAAATAGGTTTTGAAAAAGGTTTCAAAAATTTTTTACTCAGCTGTTGAACTTTACCTATGTCTCGGTTAGTACAGAATCATGTCATTGAAAGTCTGCTTGCTGAGCTGATTTATCCAAGGTTCATTTACATTAGGTACCGTAGGCACACATTTTTGTTTTGTTTTTTTTTTTTGTACAGCATGCAGTTTGGGGAAACATAATTAAGTATGTACTTACATTTATATTTATATTTTTTATGGTATTTACTATAGTTAGTTAGCTTATAAGTATTATTAGGACTTAAGGTTTGTAGTCTAGGAAAATAGTTGAAAAATACATGTATTGCAAAAAAGAAAATCCTACCCAAATGAACTTTTCAGGGATGATAGGAGACGGGTGGGTGATCATAAAACCGAAAATATCAAACATTCACCCCTTTGGCGTTTTGCGCTATAGGGGTTGAAAGTGCGCCATTTGCGATTACTTGGTATCTATTGATTTTACAAAAAAATGTTTCAAATAAAAGATGTGCAACATTATATGATATACAATGTTTATCTAAAGACTTTTTTTGATTAAGGGCCGTCTGTGGTCATAAGGGCCGTTTGAAATTTTATAATGAAAATGAAAAATTTTAACCAACGTAAAAATTTTTTCTACAACACATACAACATTTTTGCTTTATGAAGTTTTTACTCACCCCCTGCCGTTTTTCAATAGGGGTAGTTTAAAGTTTATTTATTTTTTCACAAAAAAAAATTCTTTATAAAAGTTTTATAAGATTACATTTCCTACAATTTTTCTCAATCAACTTTATTTGTAACTCACCCCCATTCAGCAGGGGGACACTTCCCTTAGGGAAATTTTAGTTTTTAGGGGTAGATATTATTTTCTTTTCTCGACTTTAGTGCATATAAAAAGGTGCAATTAACATTGTACTAAAAGGATTTTTTTTCCACCACCTTTTTGTTTTTAGGGGTAGTTCACCTATTTTCAACTTTGCAAAAAAAAGTTATAGAGAAAAGTTGCTCAAAATAATAAAGTGAACAAGTTTTCTTAATAATTTTTTTTTGTAAAGTTGGAAATAGGCGAACTACCCCTAAAAAAAAAAGGTGGTGAAAAAAAAATCCTTTTAATACAATGTTAATTGCAACTTTTAATATGCACTAAAGGCGAGAAAAGAAAAAAAAAATTATTATACCATACCCCTAAAAACTAAAATTTCCCCGAGGGAAGTGTCCCCCCGCTGAATGGGGGTGAGTTACAAAAAAAGTCGATGAGGAAAAATTGTAGGAAATGTCATCTTATAAAACTTTCCTTAAGAAATTTTTTTGTAAAAAAATAAAAATATTCAAAACTACCCCTATTGAAAAACGGCAGGGGGTGAGTAAAAACTTCATAAAGCAAAAATGTTGTATGAGTTGTAGACATTTTTTTCACGTTGGTTAAAATTTTTCATTTTCATTATAAAATTTCAAACGGCCCTTATGACCACAGACGGCCCTTAATCAAAAAAGTCTTTAGATAAACATTGTAGATCAAATAATGTTGCACATCTTTTATTTGAAACTTTTTTTTTTAAATCAATAAGTACCAGGTAATCGCCAATGGCGCACTTTCAACCCCTATAGCGCAAAACGCCAGAGGGGTGAATGTTTGATATTTTCGGTTTTATGATCACCCACCCTCCCCCTATCATCCCTGAAAAGTTCTTTTGAGTAGGATTTTTTTTTTTGAAAATCGACAATTTTCCTAGACTATTGGGAAAAGTTATTATTTCTATTTTATTTATTTTTTGCTTAAGATTTAATGCAGAGGCCATCTTGTTTTTAAGCTGGTCAACTGATCTTCGGCATTTTTCTGGCTCAGTTTTTTTTTTCTTGTACCCTTTGGGTTTGAATTGTGAATATTTAATTTTTTTTTGCTGGAAAATAAAGACCATATTTATTTATTTATTTATTTATTATAACATAGGAATCTTTCACATCACAATTAGATTAAATAATAGGTACATGTCAGCAATCGTGGAAACAGGAGCACAAGATAGCGTTCTACAAAGAAGTCTAATCAAAGAGGAACTAACAAGAAATGATGACACGGTTTTAGTCACTGCAGGGGGACACCAGATGAAAGTTTTGGAAGACATTGAAGTTCGGATAGAAATACCAGGGAGTCAAAAATGGAAGGGCAGACTAAACGCCAAAGTGATTTCATCATTAACTCAACCAATAATCCTAGGCATGGAGTTTTTGACAAAAAATAACGCAATCATAGATCTCCCACGGAAAAAAAACTGATTCTGAATGGTCAGCATAAAATACTCCTAAGACAAATGAGTAACGAAAAAATCAACATGTCAGGTCTGGTCACAACAAAACAGCCGACTCAAACGAGAGAGCTTAGACTAGATACTTCAAGAGATGAACAAGAGTTTAACAAGTTTGTAAGAGAGCACATTCACATAAAAGATGACCAGGTTAACGGTTTCCTGAAAGAAGAATATGGAAACATAGACGTCCTAAAGAACGACGCCGTTTTAGTAGTAGGAGTAACCCAAAATTACAAATCAAAAAAATCAGTTTACAAAAAATATAGGCATATGATTCCAAAAAACAGAGAGAAAGGGACTATTGGGGAGCTATCTATGTCAAAACAAGGAAAAAAATCAGTCATTTTTCTATTCACAAGAGAATCAATGAAGGAGAAGCCAAGTCCAAGAAACATGTATAAATGTCTTACAGCACTAAGGAACAATATCTCAAAAAATAAATCCATCAAAAAATTAGTCATCTCAAGACAAGGATGGGGATTAGAAAAAGAATGGGCAAGATTTAAACAGATGATATATTTTCTATTTGAAGATGCAGGGGTCCAAATTCACATTTATAGGGAAAAACCTGGGTATAAAGTTAGAGAAGAAAAGCAGGAAGAAGAAATCAGGCATCTGATGCAAATCGGTACAGAAACTAAGAAAAAGACATATAAATTGGGTACAAAAAAAGATTACACGGTATCTCAGAATGAGTTAAAAACATTGAAATTAGTTATTATGGGCAAACCTAGTGAGATAAAAGATAATACTATGTATACATGCAAATATAATTTAGACTGGTTAGCAAAAAATCATCTTGAACTAAAAACGCACATTCACACCAATGAAGTTAGCCTCATTTTAAAAGTACAATCAAACACAAGGAACCCAGTAGCTATATACGCCGGAACCACAATGGCATTTTTGGCAGAAACAGCATCAGAGATAAATCTTTCCCACATTTACATGATGCAATCAAAAAAAGATGAAGAGAGCGAAGAAATAACAATGGAAGATCATAAGTTAAACAGCATCACAAACGAGAAGAACAGGCATGAACTCAAAGAACTCCTTCTGAAATACAACGACGTTTTCGCGAAATCTACAAAACATATGGGAAGGACAAACTTAACAGAACACATAATAGACGTCGGAGAGGCTCGCCCAATAAAGAGTCGCCCATACAGAGTGTCACAAACATCATCGTATATAAAAATTTAATATCTCAGGTGTGATACCATTCATTATCAAAATGTGACAAACATTGACATTTCATTTTCACGAATTCTTTTAATTTTCATTTATACACTAACAAAATTATCCGTGTTACTATTTCCTGGAACAATGAAATGGAAGAAGCAAATCATAGTGTAAACAATCCCACAGAACCAGGATCAGGTAGATGTATGAGTATCGAGGCAATGCAAGCTCTTTTTGAGCTAAAAGAAAGCAATCAGCTATGTGATGCTGTTCTTATACTAGATGATGGTTCGGAAATTCCTGTGCATAGGGCGATTCTATGTTCTTGCAGTGCATATTTTAGGTAAGATTCAAATTCAGCAACTGCTCGAATTTCAATCGTTGCTTTTAGGGCCCTTTTCATGACACCCTTGCTCAAAAAAGAAAAATACCGAGCCAACGTACCAGGAGTAGCTTCACACTTGCTCCACACTCTTTTACTTTACGTTTATTTACGAAAACTAGATCTGAATAAAACCAATGTCTATCCCATCCTCATAGCATCAGATTACCTTAGCATTTTAGGAGCTCTGGAATTATGCTGCGAATATCTAAAATCCATCTTGAATCCCACAAATTGTATTGGAGTTATGTTCTTTGCAGAAAATTATTTTTGCCAAGCATTAAGGGCAAGTTGCTGGAGGTATATTATGAAAAATTTTGTCAAGATTTCTGTTGAAAGTGATGAAATATTGCAATTATCACTTAATCAATTACAATCAATTATTAACGCTGATGATTTGAATGTCAAGTCCGAAGAAACCGTCTGGCAAGCGATAATAAGGTAGATGTGATGGATACAAATTGAATGAAGAAAAACTTATCTTTTTCTAGATGGATTGATCATTCAAAAGATAGCAGAAAAGGTTATATTGTGGAACTAATGAAATATATTCGCTTGGGTCTTTTGGATACACAATTTTTTCTGGAAAAGGTCAAAGATCATCCCTATGTTACCGAATCTGAGGGTAGTAGACCTATGATTATTCAAACGCTAAAATTTTTGTATGACCTGGAAACGATAAGTCATAGGTAGTTTTTTAAGTTTCATTCGTTAACAATTTCGTAGATATTCGAGGATACTTTCGCTGCAATCGAATAGTGAAATTTGGCATAAAAAAAGTAAATTGCCTTTCACATTTTCTGAGTTAACGGTTGTCCAGTTGATGAATACGATTGAAATTATTTTTTTTGCATCAAATTCCAGGGATGGTGAAGTAGTCACGCCTGAAATTGCCAGACCTAGAGTACCACACGAAATCCTTTTCGCTATAGGAGGATGGAGCGGAGGTTCGCCGACAAATTTTATCGAAACGTACGATACCAGAGCCGATAGATGGATCAAACTTGATGAAGTTGATCCTTCAGGACCCAGAGCCTATCATGGAACTGCAGTTGTAGGGTTCCGTATTTATATTATTGGTGGTTTCGATGGTACATATATTTTTAAATATTCAGGAAATTTACGTTATACAGAAAAAAAAAATTGATTCAACTAGGAATGGACTACTTTAACTCATGCAGATGCTTCGATGCAGTCACCAAAACCTGGAAAGAAATAGCTCCAATGCACTCAAGAAGATGCTACGTAAGTACTGCCGTTGTGAATGATCAAATTTATGCCATGGGTGGGTACGATGGACATCATAGACAAAATACCGCAGAGCGATATGATTATGTTACAAATCAATGGACATTAATTAGTCCAATGAATATGCAGCGTTCAGATGCTAGTGCTTGCACCTTGCATGGTAAAACAAGCACTTCTCTACTCAAAAATCTTTTCTGATAGAATAAACATCTTTTATAGGAAAGATCTACATTACTGGTGGATTCAACGGCCAAGAATGTATGCAGTCAGTTGAAATATATGATCCAGAAATAAACCAATGGTCTATGATACCATCAATGCGATCGAGAAGATCTGGGCTATCTTGCATAACGTACCACGAACGAGTTTATGTTGTTGGAGGATTCAATGGAATATCTAGGTAGAAATAGTTTACTTATCATTCAGTTACTATTAGTTAATAATGTTAAATCAGAATGTGTAGCGGCGAGAAATACAATCCTCTAACGAATACTTGGGCCTCAGTACCGGATATGTATAATCCTAGAAGTAATTTTGCCATTGAAGTCATTGACGATATGATATTTGCTATTGGTGGTTTTAATGGTAAATATTCAATATTCTATAATACTCTAATGTACCTACTGGAAGATTTAATACAAGTTCACCAGAAACTAGAAAATTCAAATCCCAAATTCCAAAATCAGTTATTGTCACTACCTTCAAAATTGAAAAATATTTAGTCTTGTTACCTATATGATAAACATCAATAAACAATTTGCAATCTAGAAATATAGTCTAGCTCTGTACCTATTAAGCTGTTACAAAAAAATAACTCTTAAAAACCTCACATTTCTGCTATCAATTTGAGGTTCAGTAGCTTGTATCTTATCGATCAACAGATTTTGTTGTGAGATTTTAAAGCTAGATATATTAACAGGCGTAACAACTATATACCATGTGGAGTGCTACGACGAAAGAACCAACGAATGGTACGAGGCAACGGACATGAATGTTTACCGATCAGCTTTGTCGGCTTGCGTCATCGATGGCCTGCCAAATGCTACAGATTACATTCACCAGCACAGGGATCGCTTGATGGAAGAAAAACGACAAAAACTTATTGCTTTACAGAATCAACGGACTCTCGCTGCGGTGATAAATGCTAGCAATAATCAACAGGTGGGTGAGACATTTTTATGGCTGATATTATTTTCCAAGTTCAAGTGGGGTTTCAATATCTAAAGTACAATGTCAATTCTTGATTATGTTAATTTTGTTTCTAGAATGTCATATTACTTCATCTTCGAGCTTCTCATTCGCTCTTTTCTTGAATTTTTCACAATCTGCTGGTCTTGATTGATTTTCCATCGGAAAATTATTTTCTGTTCCCTATTTTTATTCCAGATTTATTGGGAAATATGTTCTGTTCTTCGGAATGTGCTTTTAGGAAGGATGCATACTATTATATTTACTTTGATTTGATTTTTTTTCTTAGTTTTTCTCAATCGTTAATATTTCTACTTGTAGTACAACTTTTTTAAGGTTCATTATTACTCAAGAACTGTTTTTTTTTTTCAGGATGAAAACATGAATAATGATGTTAATTTCAATGTACAGCATGTTAGTATACTTCAACATCTGCCTCTACCAGCACAGCCCATGGATGTCGAGGAGCAACACGGAGTCATTAATCTCATCGACTTGCAGAATGATAATAATAATAATAATAATGATATCAATAACAATGATGAGCATGATATTGATGACATCACCGGCAGCATTGACGAAGATGGAATCCAGTAGCTACAAGAAACAAACATCTTATGATGACTCATATAGTCTGTATAAGGTGGTTGTGTGTTTTTGGAGACGTCTCGGACTGATTTTGATAAGATGATAACAAAGATACCTCTTATCTCATCACAACTGAATTATCTTTATGTATAGGGCTACACAAATAATAACTCCAGGTAGTCTCAGGTAGACTGCATTTTCTTTACTCGATTCCAAACATTTGCCATCTGAGCCACTCCTCCCACTTGGTAGTGTACGATTCAGAGTTATCCTAATTGTTAAATAAATGTCAAGATTTGAGAACGGTTGTTAGTTTTCAATTTAGCCTTGTTTCACACAAAACCTGGGACTTCGGATGTCCCAGTTAATAAGCTGTGTGCTGTATTTCTTGTTCAAGTCTTTCCATAATATGTATTTCAAGCCATCGAATTTTTGCCTTGCCCAGAATCCATTAGCAGTGAGGCCACGATTTTATGCCTTTATCATAAGTGACCGGGATTTCGCAAAAAGAATTTGGCTAAATAAACCTATTTTTGAAGACTTGTATGATGCTATAGAGGGTTATTTGGTGGCACCAAGAAGGGCATCCGCCACCGGGCACGGTATTTAATATGGCTGAGTCTTCTTGCCACATTTTTTACTTGACTCTTTGGTAAAGGTTGGGGCGTTCTCTGACAAACTGGACAAGAAGCTCTTTTCCTCCGCATCCACGTTTGCGGAACTCTTTTTTAAATGTTTATTTAAATCATGCAACGTCCCGCGCCTTTGCCAACGAAAAACATCTGAAATTCCCCTACTTTAAATGCGTTAAAAAGTACTTTCAGTTTTGTTAGGTTTGCAGCAGAAATTTACTAAATGTGACGTCATCCTTAATATAGCGTGAAAATCCTATAACATGTAGGTGATAAAAACAGTCTCAATGTCAAATGTTAGTGCAACTTGACCCCTTTTCCCAGCATTGTGTACAATTTGGCATACGCAACCAACAGGTATATTTAATTCGGTTAGAACGCTTTGGTTTTTTCGGAAATTCACTGAGACATTCAGCCGTATGAATGAAAATAGAGCATTTGCTACTAAGCAAAAGGTAGAAGTATAAGCAAAAACTTCAAGTAAAAGGCAGAAGTAGAAGCATTTACTTACATATCATATGAATAATGAAGACCTTTTACTTGCGAGCATATTATGCTTCAAAGAAATGAAGTAAAAGATATTACCTGTTGTACCCCTGTTGCTTGAATTTAAGACTCGAATACCAAATTATACCACCAGATCGATAATATCAATAGACTTTGACATTCCATAGGAAGAGGTAGTAAAAGAACGCTGATCATGGAAGAACGCAAAGCTACCGCAAGCGGACAACGCATCATTGTGGTGCCGTTGATTGATGGTAGAGGCCTTTTAAGAGACCACATTTACATACTTTCCGACAGTCAAGTGGCTCTAAAGGCTCTAGGAACAATCAAGTGCAATTTTCAGCTAGTTTGGGAGGGTAAAAAAGTGAAAAGGGTAAATAGGAGGCGGACTGTCTCACGAAGCAAGGCGCTTTAACACCTTTTCAAGGCCCAGAGCCTTTTTGTGTACTAATGGAAAACAACGTCTTTAAAGAAATCAACAGATGAAGAAGGTTCATATATCTGAGATCTGAACATATTCTTGACAATGAACAGAAGACATTAGAAGAGTCGTTGGTCGACTGCTCACTGGGCATTTTCTGGTGAAATCACCTAAAAACAATAGGCAGATCAGACAACGATTACTGCAGATTTTGGGAACAAGCAACGAAAACTACAGAACACTTAATCTGTGAATGCCCTGGTCACTTCTGCAAAAGGCTGAAATACCTTGCTTACACACCAAGAGGTGGGCACTTTACATACAGATAAATGAAATGCACAGAACACTGGGCCTAAATGTTATGATTTTATTATGTTAGGTTATAATTATACCCCTGTGCGTTCGAAAACACACCAGTTAAAATTTACTCTTCTGACCACGTGACCATATACCCACTCTCACCCTTGGGTAAAATTTAACCCTTTTTCGAACGCACTCTAAGAAATAAGGTTAAAATAGCTATTTACCTAACAAGTGCGGAAAATGAATTTTTCCGCAAGTGTTAGGTACAATATTTTTCCTACAGGCGAAAAAATGTAAAATTTTTCTTTTTTTTTTGACATATCAGTGCGGTAAAATTTTTTCCGCACTGACAGCCGTGCGGAAAAACTTTTTCCGCACTGATATGCCAAAAAAAAAAGTTTTACCGCACCGTGCGGGAAAACTCATTTTCCGCACGCATATCAGTGCGGAAAATCGATTTTTCCGCACGGCTGTAGGAAAAAGTCATTTTTTGAGGTTTGCGGAAAATAATTATTTGTTTGTATTGTTCTGGGTTGCTATAATAGTTACGTATACGTGACGCTTTTGTCAACAACTATACTTTCTTGATCTAAATTTGACAAAAACTTACTACCTATTGCGGTAAAGATGAAATGTTATGTTTTGAAATATTTTTGATTGATGTCATTACATTACAAAATCAAAATATATAATTTTTTAAATATCAAAATGAAAACATGCTCATCGTGCATAAAATTTTGTATGCACCTCGGTCAAAAAGAGCTTTAACGCCCTCAGCGTGTAAACGTACACACGCTGCGGGCGTTAAAGCTGTACTTTTTGACCTAGGTGCATAAATAACTAATAGCGTTTTCCATTTGTCGAATCAGGGCAAAAAAAATGTAGGTATCCTTATCCTTACGTTACACGCATTTAGAAAAAGATGCGGATACACTCAGTGCGGCACTGATGACAAATGGAAATCGCCATTAATATCACTAATATTTCAGTTTACACCTGTAACAACTTTCCCGCTCTCTGTTGTCATTGAACTAAACCTTTGAATATAAAACTACAGGAAGGAGCATAACTTCGAATCTGCGCGACCAAAATATGTGGAGGTTGCATATGGCCGACTAGTATTTCCGGTTTGGCAGTGGCGTATATTTATTTAATGGATTTTAGCGGTTTTAAGTGATGATAAGTACTGGAATTAGTGAGAAAAGAGTGAGTCATAATATTGACAATCATATTTAAAAATAAAAAAAAATCAGAAATTTAATTTTTTCTTTGAAAATTCAAAATTGAAGTTTAGAGGCTTATTAGGTTATTCAGTTATTTGAAAGTTAAAGTTGGAAAAATAAAAAATTGGAAATTTTATTTTTTCTCAAAAAATCAAAAAATTAAAGGTTTCAATTTATTATTCAGTTTCTTGAAAATAAAAATTAAAAATTGGAAATTTTATTTTTTTCCTTGAAAAATTTTCCAAGTCTAAAATCAATCAGTTTCTCGAAAATTGAAAATAAAATATGAAAAAATTGGAATTTTTTTCTCTAAAACATTTAGAAATTCAAGTTTTTAATTAATTATTCAGCACTCTGAAGAACATCCGCACCGACTTGCGCCAATTATATTTTCGATTCAGAAACTTGTATTTTTAAAAAAACATTTATTTTATTAATTTTAAAATACAATAGTGACAATCGGAAAATATGTGGATCAAATTGCTACAGGGAGTGCCTGAAAACAAATGAACGCTCCTTACTGGAAAGCTCTGGCTTAAATAATAAATATTTGCTGATCCAAGCATTTTCCTATGCAGGTGGTGGTACTACCAGTGCAGTACCGCTGATTAAGCAGTTTTATATATTTATTAGTATTGACATAGGCGTACGCTTATAATTAACATAGGAAAGGAGAATTTAGTATAAAGATAACATAGGGTCTTACAATATAACTATAGTCAGTGTCATGTTTGAACCAATCATAATAGTCTGGGAGACGACCGCATTTTTCCTACCCCGATCGAGTTATGTGTCGACACTATTATCAATATATAGTATTATGTGCATCTATGCATAACTCGATGGGGATAGTGTTACGTTTTTTTCAATTTGTTAATAATTTGTTAAAATATATTTCCGGCAGGATCATCTCTATCTATCGATCGTCTATCTCTGATTTTCCATTTAATTTTTTTATCGCAAGTAAAACGGCTCCAAACATCACTGAAAATGGAAAAAAAATGTAATTTGCGTGGGCGGGGGGGAGCTCGCTGTCACTCCGTTTGAATTCCCGTCAATTTTTTCCATTTTCAGTCATGTTCGAAGCCGTTTTACTTGCGATAAAAAAATTGAATGGAAAATCAGAGATAGAGGATCGATAGTTTGGCATTTCGACTTATCAGTGGACTTTTCAAAATAAATATAAAAAAATTATGTACTAAAATATAGGGTGTTCCATTTAAAAATAACAAATTTCTGTCGCATACCCCATTTACAGAGCACCCTGTATATTTAAGAATATATTTGAGTAATGCACCTTAGAGAATCAAACAACTTTGATTTTTTTTTTCTTGCATCACCCTGTAAGAAGATATCGTCCGATATCGCACTAAGTGGACACCCTGTATAACTATTTTGACGGCATCGGGATACATTTTTGCCCCAAACGTGTTTTTTAAACGACTTTCGGGTGCAAATTTGGGCGTGGCACCCCAAAAAAAATTTCGCGTCCGGCGGCGGTACATTCCGACACTTGATGATTTTCCCGTCATCCATTACCCCCCCCCAGAAAATCATGTATGGACCGCCACTGAAGATGCCCTTAACTGTCGTACAAATACCACACCTGTCGTATGTCTGGCAACGCTGGTTAAGCCGGTCCTATACGATGCGTCCAATGTTGGCACCAACGTTAAATCCAATGTTGGAGTCAATGTTTTGACACACTACAACTGGCACCTGTGTCTCCCACACGATGGGGTGAATTTTCAGTTCCAACATTGGACGTATGGGTGCCAACGTTGTCAATCGATGTTCATTGTCGTAGTCGTATCTCGCGTGAAAATTGTTCAACAGAAAAAAAAAATTAATATTAAAAATGGAAGATGAAGACATAACCATTGCTGGCATTGCTGCAGGCATGGTATAAAAAAAAAAAAATACTTTGTGCAAAATTATTAGGTACATCATTTTAGAGCATTTCTATTCTAGGATGTTTCTCATACAGTTGAATAAATTCAAGAATAGGTTCATTATTCCACTCCATCATTAATCTATAATCTACAATGAGAAAAATGTTGGTAGGTATAGCAAAAAAAAATCTTTGGTGCTGCACTGATTCTATACTAAATGCGACAAACACATGATCGCTCGTGTAGGCGTGTGACGAACAATGGTTCCGGTTCCAACGTTGGAAGT